GGGAGCAGGTTTAACTCAGTAAACCCAGAGTTTCAGGTGAGACATCGGCATTTTCTCATTTTGATCATGTTTTACATTGTCAAGTAAGTATTAAGTGGCAGTTTGATCCCTTAAAAAATGCTCTTTTCACACTCAAAAATGAATTTTACTCTCTTATGATGTTCCGTTAAATGATTAGGAATATTAAACTAACACAAAAACGGGTGGTGGTCCAGCAGCCCCACCTTTAACGGAGGCAGAGGAGCTGCCCCCCACCCCCCCGTTCGACGATCGCAGCCGGTCCGATCGCAAATCCCCCCCCACAGACACAGACACACACACACACACACACACACACACACCAGTCCGACGATCGCTGCTACGAGGTGGGGGTTTCGATCGTCGAGGGGGGTGGGGGGGGCAGCTCCTCTGCCTCCGTTAAAGGTGGGGCTGCTGGGCCACCACCCGTTTTTCTGGCATCTGCCCTCTTTCTGTTTGCTGAGTGAAAGTCTAATATTGAGTGTAGTGTGTGTTAGTTTAATATATGTACATATACATACTGAGAGTTAGTTTCATATTCCTAATCATTTAACGGAACATCATAAGAGAGTAAAATTCATTTTTGAGTGTGAAAAGAGCATTTTCTAAGGGATCAAACTGCCACTTAATACTTACTTGACAATGTAAAACATGATCAAAATGATTCAAGCAGTTTCCCCTGCAACAGTCTGTCATTGTGATTGCACAAGACTAGATTTAAAGTTACGCATTGACGCGAGCAGCGATTTCCTCCCCTGCCCTCTCCCTCTCCTTTGCAGCTGCTGCTGTATTGCACTTTCTTTTACAAACGTGCTGTAATTCGCCGTTGGCTTGCTGCTGCCCCCTCCTTCTCCCTGTTTCCGTTGGTTGATCAATGAATCTGCGCTCCACAGATGCTGGCTGTTTATGTCTGGCGTGCACGTGCTTAACTCCAGGTCAAACTACTCGGAGTTGTTAAAACTGACTTAAATCAGGAGTTGTGAAACCGGAAACTCTGAGTTTCCTAACTCAGAGTAGATCAACTCAGAGTTAAGGATTTAACTCAGAGTTTGTTGAACCACCTACGTGAAACGGACCCCAGATCAGCTGTTCAAATGGGCCGAAGCAGAACCAGGTCCAGCATTGATCCAGTTCTATGATTGATGATGGTCATGATCGATGACATCAGTGCATCCGCTCACCTGTCTCGCTCTCTCTCTCTCTCTCTCTCTCTCTTCAGGTGATCATGTGATCTGTGGGAGCTATGACTGCAAGCTGAGCTGGTTCGACCTCGACCTCTCTACCAAACCTTACAGGATGTTACGGTACACCTGTCAATCATTCTCTGAAAAAGTGACCACCGTGCTCACACTGACAGAGCCCCATCACGACCAATCAAAACGTTCTTCAGTAAAACACGTCAGAACAAAGGGTCACTGTGGACCATGGTCATCATGGCCACATGGTCACATGTCAGCCTTCAGCTGAGTTGTTGCTGCAGCGCCCCCGTGTGGTGTTCAGGTTCTAGTTGATGTTTTCTTTTGTCACTTCCTCTCTGCAGACACCATAGGAAGGCGGTGAGGAGCGTGGCCTATCATCGACTGTACCCGCTGTTCGCTTCAGCAGCAGACGACGGATCCATTATCGTCTGTCACGGGACTGTGTACAAGTAAGACACGCAACTGCACAACAACACACAACAAGAATACACACACAAAAAGAACACACACCACCTGCACAACAACACACAATAACTACACACACACCTACAACAACACACAGTGGCCCTCATTTATCAAGCTTGCGTACGGCAGAAAACTTGCGTACACCTTGCATACGTAAATTTTGACGTGAGGATCGGCATTTATCAATCTGCACGTGAGCGTACACTACGACCAAATCTCACGACAGGTCTGACATCGTGTACACAAGTCTGAGTCAGTGTGGGTCTGCGGTGCAGCAAATATCTGTCTCAAAATAAGTGATATACAAACCTCAAACCTGTCATTAAGCACAATCAGACAGATTTCATTAAAGCAGGGATTCTTGAGAGTCGGGACAAAACACTCCCTAAAAAACTTTTTTGAGAATGCACACCATATTGATTAGAGTTATTTATTACTGTAAATTACTGCTATTTAACCCCGTAAAGGAACAGGCTCTAAATAAAAACAATTATTCTATAAATTCATTTCCCTTAGACAGTGGATTTGTGTCAACTCCATCAGACACAATAAAAACAATAAAATTTTAATAATTCTAGTCCAACAAGAATCTTAAGTTCTGATGTATGTTGTAATAGTGTTTAGTTACTCTGATATGCCATGAAATATAATATATAAACCTAATGTGTGATTTCACACTATTTTGAAAACCAAGATTTCTAAATAGTTGCATTTTCAAACTTTGTTTTTAATTTTTATATTGTAAAAACAATTTCCGTAAGTAAATAAGAGATGAGAGGATGTAGAGCCAATGCTCCTTTATTATTTAAACAACATAACCTGAGGAAACAATTTTTTTTTCTCCAAAAATTCAGAAAAACATACACCTGACGGTGTTGACGAACACCTGACGGAGTTGATATCATTGCGATTGAACAAATGTAACAAACTCGGTCCTTTAATGCTGAACACACCATCGACCCCCCCCTCTCTACTTGTTCTCCCTTTTGTCTGTGTGGGTCCTCGGGTCCACCACCACCACCACACACACACATTTTTTAGAGAGAGAGAGAGAGAGAGGCATTGCCCTGCATTGGCTACTTCATACTGGATGTGATCTCTAATTGACATTCCTTGAAATCTGTAGCTTAGAAACAGGTTCAATTAGCTTACTTAAGATTTCATTTCTGTTTTACCTGCACTGAAGTCGTGAGCATCAGGCGTCGGACATGCTCACGCTCTATGAAGTCTATCACATCAGGAGCTATACTGTAGATCTCTCGTGTTCTTGACTGGACTGGTGAGGCATTTCCGATTAGTTTCACTATGATGTCTTGAATTGGGCAGAAACAGACATCCTTCCTGCCACACTTGGCCTGAACCCTTGCTGTTGGACCATGGGGATGCAGAAATTCCACTTTCACGTCTTGATGCTCAGTATCCACAGCAATGGTCTTGGCTAGCCACCAGTGGTCATCATATACTACTGCTAACCAGTCTCCATTATTAAGACTGCTAACAGTCGGTACTCGCACAGTACCCTCAGGACCTTTCAGAGGCTCCTCTTCCAACTCCTCCATCATCCATTTCCATATCGTCTTCCATCTCCCCTTCCATCTCATTTTCCATCTCCTCCCACAACATAGCCAGTGGTCTCTTATTCCTAGCCCCCCGTGTATCACTCTGCTGTTCCTCTGGGTAGCCATGAAAATAGAAGGTAGTTGGGCAGAAGCACTGGCAATGCAACATCTCACTGCAAAAGCAAGATAGTTGTCTGTGGTGGATCCTGTTCTCATGTGCGATTACCTGGTGAATTTGTCTTGAGAGGCTCCATGAGAAGTGTATCGTATCTTTGCATGTCTTCTTCAGCAATGTGGTACAACTGAATGCCCCTCAGACTGTCTGAGACCTTTTCAAAGAATGTGTGTCCATCTGTGACATCATTTCCACTCAGGACCAGGTTGTCAGCTGTTCTTTTTACTGTTCCACCGATTCCGTCAGGTGCGCCCTTGCCATGGGAAGTGAGGAAGAAGTTCCATGTTGCTCTTTCAAATCCCAGTGTAGGTGGGACACTAGACAGAAGAAAAAAGTTCTTCTTGTTCTTGTACTGTTTACTTGGGCCATCAGACCAAAAGTGCATGGTGGCAACCTGTGGATATTTCATCTTGACATCTTTTAGGACAGGATCCAGGTGTGTCCAGATTGCTGCAGCATCCTGTCTCTTTGACTCTGACAGTGTGCAAAACGCTGCCTTTCCACCCTTCGTGTAATACATTCTGGTATGGAATGTTATCAGATTTTGTCCAAAATGGCATGCTTGAACTTCAGATTGATATTTGCATCTCCAGGATTCTGATTGCTGTACTTTCATCACAGGATTCAGTCGTGCTTCTGTATACTTTTGACTGGTTTCGTACTGAACACACATGCTTTGTGGTTTCATTTCTGAGTTTTTGCTCATAGACTTTGATGAGCTCTGAAAGGACCCCACTATGTTGGATGAGCTTAGTGTTGATGTGGATTCCATTGCCTGTGTCTTCTTGAACTCTCTCCCACTGCTTCCACTGAACGTGGATTTTGTCTTGCTCTTGGGTTGTAACTGTACCTTTCTTTAGACATCGTGAGCAGGTGCGAAGAAGGCAGGCCTCAGTTGCTGGAGAGCAACAAACTAAGTGAAAACTGTCATCAAGTTTGTTTGACTTCACAATACCAGACGTTCTAAGGACCTCGAGCATTAAGCATTTTCATGTGTTTGACAGAGACATGTCTTCCGATCAGATTCTTTTGGTGCTGTGACATAGAAGGGCTTCAGAGCACAAAATGAAGAATAGCTCAGCTTTACAGTGGGGTTCCTAATGAGGAAATCAGTGTGGAGGTTGATCATGGAGTTCATCAGGATCATTCTCTGCTGCTTGATCTTGTTCCTGGTGATTGTGTCAGTCTTGTCAGTTGTCACACGTGCAGAATTCAGGAAGAAACCCTGAACAGTCTGTGTTATACCCTGTAGGAATGTTGGCTTTTTCTTTGGCTGTTTCTTTTCTCTCGTTAACTTGTATGTTAACCCAAACTGGTGGATATGGTGAAGGAGACGATACTTTTTAAGAATCTTGCCTGATGACACACTCAGTGCAGGTTTGTGGCGCCGTGGCCCAGGAGCTTGTTTGCATTTCTTTAGCTCTCTTCTGATGATGTTGATGATGATGAATAGAAGGGCTTTTTTGATTTGTGGATTTCTTATTTTGCTTCCTGATAGCATCTTCTTTGTTTCTGTGCCTGGAGAGTCCAGTGGTGTTTTATTTGTAGCCCTTTTTCTGCGATAAATTCTTTTTAGCAGTTTGTTTCGTTGCTTTGTTACATTCTTAAGCTTCTGTTTCAAAGTTTTTATTTCTCTTGCATGCCTTTTTTGCGTTTTTGCTCTTTCTGTTTGCTGTCTGAGAGACTGTCTGTTGTGTCTGGCATCGTATTCTAGATTATCCTGATCTTGCGGACTGTCTGGGGGGGTGTCTGCCTCCAGCACTGCACCTTCATGGGACTTTTTCTCTCTGGACCTTTTCTGTGCCTCTCTACTTTCTCCGATACCTCTTCTCCCTGTCTCCCATCATGTCTATTTGTACTACTTTTTTTGTCTTGAACTCTCTTTTTCCATCTTTGTCTTTCAGTCTCCTGCATGGCTTCTTTTCTCTCTGGGTCACTATTTAATTTTTCTCTTCTCTTTCGTTGGTACTCTCTATTTCTTCTCCTTTGCTCCTCAACTGACAGTTTATGTCTAGCCATGTTTTCCTATTACAAAATACAGAAAAATGTATTTGAATAAGACTATAGAATCAGATGTCCATTTACTTAACATGACTGATTGATTGATATAAAATCTTAAAGGTGCAGTGTGTAGTTTACACAACCATGTGTTTACACAACCATCAGACCAGAAGTGCACCATGCACTTCTGGTCTGATGGTCCAAGTTAACAATGTAAAAATAATAACCTTTTTCTTCTGTCTGGTATCCCACCTACACTGGGGTTTAAAAGAGCAACATAGAACTTCTTGCGCACTCTATAAGAAGCCAGTGTGGAGATTTTCGGTAGTGAAAACTACACACTGCACCTTAAGGATTGTACATTAATCAATCAATCAATCAATCAATCAATGAGATTAGGTGTGTGTGTGTGTGTGTGTGTGTGTGTGTGTGTGTGTGTGTGTGTGTGTGTGTGTGTGTGTGTGTGTGTGTGTGTGTGTGTGTGTGTTGGGAAAGTTTGAAAGTTATAATTAAGCAGACAGCCTGCCCATGGTCTACTCTACAAGTCAGAAGTATATGGTAAAATAATGTAATGTATGCTATATATGTACATTAATGTGCAGATAAGACCCTGGAATAACATTGTTATCCTTAACCATGTTCAAAAATAGCACAATGTCAGCACATTAAGAGGTTATAGGTGGATTTGTCAACTCCATCAGCTTACATGTCAACTCCGTCAGACACAAAATCTGACGGAGTTGACGTAAGGGCGTGTATTTTCCCTCCAAAACATTTATTGAACAGTGCAGCTAGCTACTTTTTTGGCAGTTGCTAGCTGTCCTGATAATCTCACTAAAATACTTTAATTGAACTCACTATGGTTTAAAAAAAAGTATAATAACAGAGAGACGGTGTTGATATGGTCCAGCTGTGACCATACAAATATTGTGTGGTGGTGTTGCATTCACCAGAAGCAGGAAATGAAAAGGGGTCCTCAGGGATATAGCTGACCATGATATTGCATGATTTAATGAGGTTTATAGAATAATCTGACGGAGTTGACAGAAACTGAGGACACAACTTTGATAGGCAGATTTTTAGGCACAAAGTTTATTGATGTTCAGGCCTATTTTATATATTTATAGCCCTGAATTTTTATTTGATGTATATGTTTTCACAATTGTAGAGTTTTTTAAAGTTTTTTGGGGCTGGTCAATATTGTGACCTCTTGCTGAGGACACAAGCAATAACATGGACCTTCTAACCACAGAGGATTCATTTAAACAAATACCCCCCCCCAAAAAGTAAACATCTGTGCTGAAACATAGAATTGGTATACACAAATCCTTTAGATTTAACTTTGTAAGTATGAATAACATTTAGAATTTCTTAATTTTTTAGAATAAATTAGACTTTTCTATGTACGACATGTTTTGTCCTGACTCTCAAGAATGGGTGAAAGATTAAGACGTAAATAAAATAAAATAAATTTGTTATGTCCTTAGTCAATAGGCCTATTTGATAACTCTGCCCAGAAACACAGCCACAGAGCAGGAGCGCCGTTTCAACGTTGCGCACACACACACACGGGGACGTTGTTGTACACTCCAGAAAGGGTGTGGGACATCATTTGAGCCAGTACAGTTTTGCACAATGTTGCTCTGGCGAGTGGAGTGCTGTTGGCTGTGCCGGTATGTGAGGACCCGATGCCCGGAGAACAATAACGAGGAGAGACTCCACAAAGGCGCTGCACAGAGGAGACAGGACCTTATCGATGGATTCTGACATGTAAAGTATAAGTTAAGTGCTCTTGCTATTTAATCAGTGATAAAAATCCAATAGAAATCCATAAAAATGTGCCTCAGGGGCAGCAACACACAGTTTAGTGACGTTAATAATTATTTTTGTTCAGCCTCTGTCAGACTCTCCAGTCTGCTCTACATTACACAGATGCAACAAGTTAAAACTGAATACTTTCAACAATAGGAGCAACATAACCTTTGTCATAACAATAAACAAACATGAGGTATGTATAAGATATTAATTTATCATCATGAGCAACTTATTGACAAATGATTTATTCAAACTTCAGCCACTGTCCACTATTCGGCGGCAGCGCCGTTCAGCGCCTCCATAATCCTGCTCCAGACAGGAGTTTTCTGGACTGCTTTCATACCAGTTTTGATGCTTCCAAAGAGAAAATCCTTGTTAGTTTCCACCACAGACGCGAGGATATCCACTTTCAGCTCGGAAAAGTTTCGAATCTTTCTAATATTTCTCCTCTTTCATGTTTGACCTCAGTGGGCGAGGCTTCTGAACCATGAATATTTAAGGGCATAAACATGTTATAGACGATCGACTTCAGCCGCCGCATTTATCAAGACCCCACCATATGTACGCTGGGATTGGTCAGATACGAACCCTTTCATAAATCTCACGTGTGTCCTATTGTACAATGAATCCTGCGCTCAGATGTGCGCTCAGATCTGCACAAGGGCTAGAGATGGCAGCTCCTCAATTAAGGTCGCTGCAGAGGGTGTCCTTCACAATTTCTCAAATAAGATGGATATGGTGTGTGTAAGTTTGTACCCACTGGTAAGACAAACACCCTTTTCCACAAATAAAGAAACTCGCATAAAGTTGCATATATTCAAACCTCACATGACAAAGGTGGGTTGTGCACACAGATCACAACATAAATTCCAATAATGGCATTAAAATCGGGACCATCTGTGCGTAATGACGCATCGTGCTCCGTGGCCTGGCTCTTTCTTTCATAGATGTTGGCATGTAAAATAAATTTGGCTCACAAAATGGAATATTATAATATTCGTATGTAGGCTCAAAGTAAATAACTCATCTGATCACTGAAACAAATCATCTGTTCAGCCGCCGCAACAGCAGCAGGTGCAGCAGGACGGAGAGAGGACACGAACACACGTCAGGTGTTGTGCCATAGTATGCACCCCTGCCGTAAAATGCCCCCCCCTGATTCTACAGCGTGTGCCTTTAATGATTTCATTCAGGCTATTCAGATATGCCGAAAACAACAGCCCTCTGATTCGGAATATTTGCTGCCCCGAAAATATAATGTTCTCTACCATGACAGCTAACTGTACAGTTTAAATACGCAAATACACCTCTCTATGTGCTTTTTTTAAACACCTAAAAACAGAACGAAAGTTTGCTGCTCCATTTGACATGTTGTCATGATCCAATACTCGTGTTTTTTTAAATATGAGATAATTTTTTTTCCACTTTAAGAAGCTAATGAGTGGATGGGATGCAGGGGTGCATTCTACGGCATAACACCTATCAAGCTGCGCGAGGAAGAAGGAGGATAAGCGGGGAGACGAAGTAAATATCTTGTTAACTTCATCATGTGTGACTGTTTACTGGATATTTAATTTAATGCGGTTTCAGCTGTGTTAATTCGGTCAGGTGGAGTGTCCAAACGCGCTCATCAGATCAGCTATAGATCAGAGTATATCGATATAGATTTACATGTATGTGCTGACTCAGAATAAAACTACAGCGGTCTGCTCCGTGTCGCTCCTTTTAAAACCAAACCACGACCACACAACCGACGTTGCCCCCCGTTTCGGCAGCAGCTCCTCCGTCTGCGTTGGCTCGTCTGCGTTTGATGCACGAGAATTGTCATCTCTTTCGCCACAATAACCCGGCTCCTCCATGCTTGTTTGTGTTTTTCACAGTGGCCGTAGCGCGTGCGGGCATGCAGTATATGGAGCGTCACGACGTAAAACACTGCCGTAAAGCGTGTTTTTGCGACACCGTGATAGAAACGATAGAGCTCATGTATCCCGATAGAAATTTTCTATCGTTTAGACGAAACAAATCGTTATATCGTGCAGCCTTACTACCCCACAACAACACACAGAACTACCCACACAATAACTACACACACTACCACACAACAATACACAATAACTACATACACCTGCACAACAACACACAATAACTATACACAAACTTACCGCTCACAATAACTACGCACAACTGCACACTCTACTCCACAACAACACACTATTGCACAACAACACACAATAACTACACATGAAAACTACACACACAACTGCACAACAACACACAATAACTACACACAGTTCTGCACAACACACAATAATACACACAACTGCACAATACACAATAACTACCCACACAATAACAGCACGCACAACTGTACAACAACGCACAATAACTACACACACAACTGCACAACAACGCACAATAACTACACGCACAATAACTATACACACTACTTCACAACAGCACACAATAACTACACACAGAGCTGCACAACAACACAATAACTATACACTACTCCGCACAACTGCAAAACAACACACAATAACTTCACACACCTGCACAACACTGTGTGATCACACTCACTCTTAAGCACTTTGTACACACAGAAATAAATGCTGCTTCACACTGATTGGCTGTTGGTGTAACAGTTCTAATTAACTCCGCCCCTACAGTGACCTGCTGCAGAACCCGCTGATCGTCCCTGTGAAGGTTCTGAGAGGTCATGTGATCACTCATGAACTTGGGGTTCTGGATGTGACCTTTCACCCAACACAGCCATGGATCTTCTCCTCTGGAGCGGACGCCACCATCCGTCTTTTCACCTAGAAACCTGGCAACCACCCCTGGCAACCACTCTAGCAACCACCCTAGCAACACAATATGGACACGAAGTTGGCTCTGTCATTACAGCTTGTGTTTGACCTTTGACCCTGTTACTGTTTGTTTCAAAATAAACTGACACTTCTCAACACTGTTTGTTGTAACCATGACAACTGCAAAAGGAGGCTTCAGACTTCAGGCTTCTGACACAAGTCAGACACTCCCCTGTCCCTGCCTCACTGAGCATGCTCAGAGAGCAGGTAAACTCACATGTCAGTGGTCACTGAGTGTGCTCAGTCAAAATAAATGAAGTCATAAAGTAAATAAAGTCAAAGTTAAAAAGTTAATAAAATTGTACATTAAATAAAGTCATAAAGTAAATTAAAAAAATAAAGTTAGGAAGTAAATAAAGTAAATTCATCCTGTAAATAGAGTCAGGAAGTAAATAAAGTGATTAAAGTTAAGAAGTAAATAAAGTCATGAAGTTAATACAGTCGTAAAGTAAATAATGTTATGAAGTGAATAAAGTTAGGAGTAAATAAAATAAAGCAGGACGGGGAGAGGACACGGACACATGTCCAAGTCGAGCCTTGGGAGAAATAAGAGGAAAAGGAAGAAAGAAAAGGAGGGAGACAAATTCCATATCTTGTTAACTTCATCATTTGTGTCTATTTACTATTTACTATTTAGATGTTTAATTAAATTTAAGGCGGTTTCAGCTGTGTTGATTCGGTCAGGTTGTGTGTCCAAACGCGTGCCAAACGCGCTCATCAGATCAGATATAGATCAGAATATATCTATATAGATCTAAATGTATGTGCTGACTCAGATTATTAGTTGTTGATGATTATTTATTGCACTGAAATGTTCCTGACACTGTGGAAACCTGCCGGTGAGGCATCAGTGACATATGCCAATATGCCGCCGGTCTACCAAAATACCACTAGACCAGCTGCGCTCCACCTGAGCTGAAAGCTGACCAGGTTTGAACTGGTGAGCTTTCAGCGCACTTTATACGCCACCGGCGAGCACGAAAATGCCTCTGCGCCAGCTGATTCTGTCGACACCTCCCCCTGCCACGCCACCACGCCCAGCTTGGCGGACCTCAGTGCGCCTTGGTCTACGAAAATACCAAACTGGCTGTGCGCCAGGCTCCGCCAGACGAAAATACCACTGCTCGGGGTCCGCCACCCTCCAGCACCTCACCGGCGGACACAAAAATAGAGCCTATGAAGTTAATAAAGTCATGAGGTTATAAATAAACTTTAGAGTAAATAAAGTTATAATAATGTAAATAAAGTCAAAATGTAAAGAAAGCAAAAAAGTAAATACAGTAATTCAGTAAATTAAGTCAGAAAGTTAATAAAGTCTTAAAGTAAATAAAGTTATGAAGTAAATAAAGTCGTAAAGTTAACAAAGTCAAAGTGAATAAAGTTGTGAATTAAATAAAGTCATAAAGTAAATAAAGTTATGAAGTAAACTAAGTAAATAAAGTCGTTGGGGTTAGGGTTAGGGTTAGGGTTAGGGTTAGGGGTTAGGGGTTAGGGTTAGGGGTAAGGTTTTGGGAAAGAATCCCGTCTCCCCTAAATTGCCCTACTTGGGTCGGCGGGGAGCGGGGAATGCACGGGCCTTCGCCCACTGGACACGCTCCCCCGGTCCCAGAAAGACACTTATTTGTGTTATGAATTAAATTGTTTTTAATAAATTAGTTTTAGTGTGTTGTGTAATTCATATTTGTTAAATTAATCCATTTTTTTAGGTTTTTAACTGTTGTTTACACACAAACACACAAACAAACAAACAAACAAACTATACATGAACACACTTGAACTATGTATATGATGTGTGCACCGCGACGACGTTTCGACCTAGTTTGGTCTTCTTCAGGTCTATGCACACACAGCTTTCATAGCTGCTGGGCCCCAGTTCATAGGGGTTTACCCAGCAAGCATCTGAATGAAAATGAAAATTCCCTGTCCTGTTTTCCCTTTTATACCCTTTGCTGAAGAAAATAACTGATTTTCTCTCGGATATTTAGTTTAAATTCAACTTTATTTAGTTTGTAGATGTTAACCCTTTAAATGCTGTTTGTTTTTTAATCTGAATAATATATTTATATTTCTCCTGTGGTTAGGCTTAAAGTGACCCCTAGGGTTAGGGTTAGGGTTAGGGTTAGGGTTAGAATCCGAGGCCAGGGCTAGGGTTAGGGTTAGGGTTAGGGTTAAGGCCACGGTTGGGGCTAGATGGCGCTAGGGTTAGGGTTAGGGCCCTCATAATGGTTAGGGTTAGGGCCAGGGCCACGGTTGGGGCTAGAAATGAATCCCGTCTCTCCTATAGTGACCCTACTTGGGTCTGCGGGGAGCGGGATAGCGCTAGGGTTAGGGTTAGGGCCCTCATAATGGTTAGGGTTAGGGCCAGGTCCACGGTTGGGGCTAGAAATGATTCCCGTCTCTCCTAACGTGACCCTACTTGGGTCTGCGGGGAGCGGGAAATGCTGAAGCGCCAGGATCAGGGTTAGGATAAGTAGCACTGTTAGGGTTAGGGTTAGGGTTAGGTTTATGGATAAAGGGGGACTGTCTCCTAGAATAGGAGACAGGAGGTGCACGGTCCATCCCCCTGTTCCCCGTCCCCCACGACCCCGTTTGGTACTGCTGATTAGGGTTAGGGTTAGGGTTAGGGTTAGGGGTTAGGGTTAGGGTTAGGGTTTAGGGTTAGGGTTAGGGTTAGGGTTAGGGGTTAGGGTTAGGGTTAGGGTTAGGGGTTAGGGTTAGGGTTAGGGGTTAGGGTTAGGGGTTAGGGTTAGGGTTAGGGTTAGGGGTTAGGGTTAGGGTTAGGATATAGGGATATGTGCCACTTTTGACATGGCGGTTCATTGCCTTTCCCATGGATGAACCGGGCTGAGATTTGGTCTACCCCCCCATTTTCGGGTATGCTGAATCTAGAAATAGTAATGAACCAGCGATCGGACATTCCTATCAAAAGTTATGGCGAAGTGAAAATTTCCCATTGAAAATGAATGGGAGCGGAAAAATGGCCAAAGTCAGTGTTTGCAAGTGTTGTACTTGTGTGGAACTGTTGAAAATGCATTGTGAGCACGTTTCAGGCCATTTCCTGTCATTTGAGGGCGACTTTGCAAAAAGGGGTGTCATAATGCTTTTGACCAGAGGTGGCGCTGCACATGTCCGACGGTTAGGGTTAGGGTGAGACTTTGGGCAAGGGGTTAGGGTTAGGGTTGGAGCTAGGGTTAGGGTTAGGGGTTAGGGTTAGGGTTAGGTTTTTGGGTAAGTATCCCGTCTCCCCTAAGTTGCCCTACTTGGGCGGCGGGGAGCGGGGAATGCACGGTCCTTCGCCCACCGGACACGCTCCCCCGGTCCCACAGGAAACACGACTTGTGCTTAATAAATGTTGTTGTTGACTTGGTTTTAATGTGTTGCGTTATTGTTTTTAAATAGTTTCCATTTTTTTAGGATTTTTTGTTTTTGTTTTTAAATAATTTCCAGTTTTTTAGGATTTTTTTGTTTTTTATATACACAACACACAAACAAACAAACAAACAAACAAACAATACATGATCACACAGGAACTATGTACATACATTGTGCGCGTCGACGACGTTTCGACCCTACTTGGGTCTTCATCAGGTCATGCGCACAAAAAGAATGGCTGCTGGGCCCCAATTCATAGGGGTGTGTACCCAGCAGGCAGCCAAATAAAAATGAAGTTATCCCTGTTCCCCTCTCCCTTTTATACCCTTGGAGAAATAATTTACTGAATTTTCTTAAATAATTTGTGTTATTTTGTACTCTATTTAGTTTCTGAATGTTAACCCTTTAGACGCTGATTGTTTTTTAATGCATGATATATTTATCTTATGTTAACCCTTTAGACGCTGATTGTTTTTTAATACATGATATATTTATCTTAATGCTGAGGTTAGGCTTCAAGTGACCCCCTAGGGTTAGGGTTAGGGTCAGTATTAGGGTCAGGGCTAGTATCCGAGGTTAGGGTTAGATCCTGAGGTTAGGCTTCAAGTGACCCCTAGGGTTAGGGTTAGGGTCAGTATTAGGGTCAGGGCTAGTATCCGAGGTTAGGGTTAGATCCTGAGGTTAGGCTTCAAGTGACCCCTAGGGTTAGGGTTAGGGTCAGTATTACGGTTAGGGTTAGTATCCAAGGTAGGGTTAGGGTTAGGGTTAGGGCCACGATTGGGGTTATGGCAAGCGCTAAGGTTAGGGTTAGGGTTAGCGCGATGGTTAGGGCTAGGGTTAAGTGCCAGGTTAGGGCTTACGGCATCAGCCGCCCGGACTGCGGGTCGGCTGGATCTCTAATATGTGCAGATTTTGCAGGTTGGGGACCGAGGAAACGCACCAACGATGGACGAGGCACTGGCGGGTAAGGTTTTTGGGTAAGTATCCCGTCTCCCCTAAGTTGCCCTACTTGGGCGGCGGGGAGCGGGGAATGCACGGTCCTTCGCCCACCGGACACGCTCCCCCGGTCCCACAGGAAACACGACTTGTGCTTAATAAATGTTGTTGTTGACTTGGTTTTAATGTGTTGCGTTATTGTTTTTAAATAGTTTCCATTTTTTTAGGATTTTTTGTTTTTGTTTTTAAATAATTTCCAGTTTTTTAGGATTTTTTTGTTTTTTATATACACAACACACAAACAAACAAACAAACAAACAAACAATACATGATCACACAGGAACTATGTACATACATTGTGCGCGTCGACGACGTTTCGACCCTACTTGGGTCTTCATCAGGTCATGCGCACAAAAAAGAATGGCTGCTGGGCCCCAATTCATAGGGGTGTGTACCCAGCAGGCAGCCAAATAAAAATGAAGTTATCCCTGTTCCCCTCTCCCTTTTATACCCTTGGAGAAATAATTTACTGAATTTTCTTAAATAATTTGTGTTATTTTGTACTCTATTTAGTTTCTGAATGTTAACCCTTTAGACGCTGATTGTTTTTTAATGCATGATATATTTATCTTATGTTAACCCTTTAGACGCTGATTGTTTTTTAATACATGATATATTTATCTTAATGCTGAGGTTAGGCTTCAAGTGACCCCCTAGGGTTAGGGTTAGGGTCAGTATTAGGGTCAGGGCTAGTATCCGAGGTTAGGGTTAGATCCTGAGGTTAGGCTTCAAGTGACCCCTAGGGTTAGGGTTAGGGTCAGTATTAGGGTCAGGGCTAGTATCCGAGGTTAGGGTTAGATCCTGAGGTTAGGCTTCAAGTGACCCCTAGGGTTAGGGTTAGGGTCAGTATTACGGTTAGGGTTAGTATCCAAGGTAGGGTTAGGGTTAGGGTTAGGGCCACGATTGGGGTTATGGCAAGCGCTAAGGTTAGGGTTAGGGTTAGCGCGATGGTTAGGGCTAGGGTTAAGTGCCAGGTTAGGGCTTACGGCATCAGCCGCCCGGACTGCGGGTCGGCTGGATCTCTAATATGTGCAGATTTTGCAGGTTGGGGACCGAGGAAACGCACCAACGATGGACGAGGCACTGGCGGGTAAGGTTTTTGGGTAAGTATCCCGTCTCCCCTAAGTTGCCCTACTTGGGCGGCGGGGAGCGGGGAATGCACGGTCCTTCGCCCACCGGACACGCTCCCCCGGTCCCACAGGAAACACGACTTGTGCTTAATAAATGTTGTTGTTGACTTGGTTTTAATGTGTTGCGTTATTGTTTTTAAATAGTTTCCATTTTTTTAGGATTTTTTGTTTTTGTTTTTAAATAATTTCCAGTTTTTTAGGATTTTTTTGTTTTTTATATACACAACACACAAACAAACAAACAAACAAACAAACAATACATGATCACACAGGAACTATGTACATACATTGTGCGCGTCGACGACGTTTCGACCCTACTTGGGTCTTCATCAGGTCATGCGCACAAAAAAGAATGGCTGCTGGGCCCCAATTCATAGGGGTGTGTACCCAGCAGGCAGCCAAATAAAAATGAAGTTATCCCTGTTCCCCTCTCCCTTTTATACCCTTGGAGAAATAATTTACTGAATTTTCTTAAATAATTTGTGTTATTTTGTACTCTATTTAGTTTCTGAATGTTAACCCTTTAGACGCTGATTGTTTTTTAATGCATGATATATTTATCTTATGTTAACCCTTTAGACGCTGATTGTTTTTTAATACATGATATATTTATCTTAATGCTGAGGTTAGGCTTCAAGTGACCCCCTAGGGTTAGGGTTAGGGTCAGTATTAGGGTCAGGGCTAGTATCCGAGGTTAGGGTTAGATCCTGAGGTTAGGCTTCAAGTGACCCCTAGGGTTAGGGTTAGGGTCAGTATTAGGGTCAGGGCTAGTATCCGAGGTTAGGGTTAGATCCTGAGGTTAGGCTTCAAGTGACCCCTAGGGTTAGGGTTAGGGTCAGTATTACGGTTAGGGTTAGTATCCAAGGTAGGGTTAGGGTTAGGGTTAGGGCCACGATTGGGGTTATGGCAAGCGCTAAGGTTAGGGTTAGGGTTAGCGCGATGGTTAGGGCTAGGGTTAAGTGCCAGGTTAGGGCTTACGGCATCAGCCGCCCGGACTGCGGGTCGGCTGGATCTCTAATATGTGCAGATTTTGCAGGTTGGGGACCGAGGAAACGCACCAACGATGGACGAGGCACTGGCGGGTAAGGTTTTTGGGTAAGTATCCCGTCTCCCCTAAGTTGCCCTACTTGGGCGGCGGGGAGCGGGGAATGCACGGTCCTTCGCCCACCGGACACGCTCCCCCGGTCCCACAGGAAACACGACTTGTGCTTAATAAATGTTGTTGTTGACTTGGTTTTAATGTGTTGCGTTATTGTTTTTAAATAGTTTCCATTTTTTTAGGATTTTTTGTTTTTGTTTTTAAATAATTTCCAGTTTTTTAGGATTTTTTTGTTTTTTATATACACAACACACAAACAAACAAACAAACAAACAAACAATACATGATCACACAGGAACTATGTACATACATTGTGCGCGTCGACGACGTTTCGACCCTACTTGGGTCTTCATCAGGTCATGCGCACAAAAAAGAATGGCTGCTGGGCCCCAATTCATAGGGGTGTGTACCCAGCAGGCAGCCAAATAAAAATGAAGTTATCCCTGTTCCCCTCTCCCTTTTATACCCTTGGAGAAATAATTTACTGAATTTTCTTAAATAATTTGTGTTATTTTGTACTCTATTTAGTTTCTGAATGTTAACCCTTTAGACGCTGATTGTTTTTTAATGCATGATATATTTATCTTATGTTAACCCTTTAGACGCTGATTGTTTTTTAATACATGATATATTTATCTTAATGCTGAGGTTAGGCTTCAAGTGACCCCCTAGGGTTAGGGTTAGGGTCAGTATTAGGGTCAGGGCTAGTATCCGAGGTTAGGGTTAGATCCTGAGGTTAGGCTTCAAGTGACCCCTAGGGTTAGGGTTAGGGTCAGTATTAGGGTCAGGGCTAGTATCCGAGGT